ATTATCTGGCCTTCCAGGGAACAGTCAGGGTTGATTTCTTTTAGGATTGACTGATTTGATCTTCTTGCAGTCCAAGGGACTCTCAAGAGTCTTCTCCAGCACCATAGTTCAAAAGAATCTATTCTTCGGCACTCGGCCTTCCTTATAGTCCAACTCTCGCAGCCATACATGACTACTGAAAGACTATTGAAAGAGGTAGTCAATCTTTAAAGGTACAATTGTGGTCTTAGGGTACTGTCTCAGTGATGATCTGGTTCTTATAGATCCACATGGGTCAATGCAGGGGTAATTCATGAGGACAACCAGATGGATTTCACCTAGAGAACTGGTGTTGAGTAGTGATGGGCATGAACTGGGAAAATGTGGTATGGTTCATGGTATGCCAGCTTCATGAACCATGAAACATCACAAATAAACCAGTTTCATTTGTGAGGTTTGTGACATGGTAGAACACCCCTCAGCATGATAGAGACACCAAACTCACAAGGGATATCCGGCTAACCCACCTCTACCTACATGCCAAGGTTGGTGAGGATTGAATTTATGGGGTTCGAGTTATGGCTCCCCCAAAGAAGGTGTCCCCAGGAAAGCATTTTCTGGGGAAATGACAAGCACAGGTTCATGAGGGTCAGGATTGTATAGAATGGATCCTGTGCAAATTAAAGATGCCAAACATGCAAGAGATCTCCAGATGACTCTCCTCTACTTGCCCTCCAAGTTTGATGAGGATTGGATTTATGGGGTCCAAGTTACAGCCCCCCAAAGAAGGTGCTCCTATGGAGGGAAAAACAGCAAAAAAGCAAGGACAACAGAAGCCATGCAGAACAGAATCGAAGTCCCAGAGAATCTCTGCAGTAGAAACTGAAGGTTGGAGGCATTTTTGCAAGCCCAGCAGAACCAGTGCAATGTGCCCAGCAGAACTAGTGCCACTGTGGCACTGTGAACCCAACAGGACTAAGGTCAAGTCAGGGAAGTGTTTTTTGGGGGGACATGTCAGACACAGGTTCAAAAGTATATAGAATGGACCCCCTGCAAGTTACACACACCAAATGCACAGGGAACCTCACCCTGCCACCTGCTCTTTTACAATCTCTTCAAGTTGGGGGTGGATTACATTTCTGGCGTCCCAGTTACAGACTCCCCCAAAAAGTCTCTCCAATGCTCTTTCCAGAAAAGACAGCTGCAGTTACAGGAGTCTATGGAACAGCTCAGAAATAAGACAGCAAACTCACAGGGAAAGTTCACCTGGGCAGACCCCCCCATCAGACAGTGGAACCAAGGCAAGCATCCCCCCTATGCTTGCAACCCCC